TGCCTGACATCCGGATGTCTTTCTTTGAGGTCGGGACAAATCTTGGTCTTCGCACCTTCTGTACAGGCGCTCCGTCGCTCCGTTTGACCCATCTGGATGCCCTGGTGGGTTGAAACATGGGGCCGAATTTTGGATGCCTAAGGAAGATGGGCTCGGGGTATATTTACCACACATTTGATGGTCAGAGCGCATCTATGTTGGTAACATCTAGCCATTATTCTTGCTGAATCTTGCTGATATCATTTGAGATCTAAACCACATTCCATTGTCATCTGTCAACTGTCAAGGTCACTTGTTTTTCTTGCAGTAAAGTCATAGAGCCGGTAGAGCCAAAACTCAAACAACAGAGTTGCTGTCTTCCATCAAGCTTTTTGCCATATCTGACATATCTTCTTATCCCAACAATCTTGCAGCTTTCTTCCACCCCGGTTGGGCCATCGCTAGGTGTTTCTTGAAACCGACCCCTGACCGCTTGAGTCTTTTGTCTTCAAAGGCTTTGTACACTTTAAATGGGTTTCACATTTCTTGGAGCACCTATTATTTCATTTCCATCTTTCTAAGCTAGTTGTAAGAACATACAAGTACTTCCCATTGACAAAATGTCTTTGAGATGGTTTAAAGTTTAAACATGTCCTGGAATGTCGCGTTTTTCCGGAGATTGGTTTAAACATGTCTTTGAGATGGTTTAAACAATTTTAAACATGTCTTTGACCAGGATTCTCCTGTATTCGGGGGTCAAATTTCTCACGGTGTTCTGTAGAAAATATCCCTTCCGACCTTGGCAGGTTGTGCTACCAGCCTATCGGCCCACCGTGACAAAGCACCTGCCTCGATTTCCGGTTGGAATGATCATCCCACAGCAATTGGGTGTTCAACGAATTACGGTAAATTACCCTCTGGTTAATTAACATAGCCATGGAAAGATCCGCCATTTTTAATAGGTAAACCATCTATAAATGGGCAATCTATACCATGGCTATGTTAAATTACCAGAGGGTAATGAGAAATCCCAAACATCCAATCATGATTCATCGACAATCCAGAATGGATTGGATTTTTATTGCGCTCAACAGGAGATTCGCAACAAACGCCGCAGGACTTGTGCACTGATTACGCAGTATGAGTATTGATATGTATTGATGGCAGTGTACAAAATCTGGTGGATCCCCCCAATCCGGGCAGTGGGTTGTCCCCAGGTGTGCCGTTTTTATCCAATTCCATCCATTGGGTCAGATGATTTGACGTCTTTTGAGACGACGAAGATGGTCAGCTCATGTCAAGTCACACTGAATCCACTGGTCAAGCCAAACTGGCAGTATGTTGGGGATGATTTGGATCTCTACATTGGTACTGTGAGAATGTCAAGTGGAAACCTGACTACCAACTAAATGGGTCTTTTTGCTAGACTTCAATGCCCCAAATCCTCTACTGTAGCAGTGAGACCTCCTGTTTTTGGGCTTATAATTATATAAAGATCTTGTTGTAGAATTTTTTAAATTTCTAGGGACTTACTGAACCAAAAAAACCTAGGGGAGTAATGGGGAGTACTTGTTTTTTTCCTGGGGTGAACCCTAAGACTTCCATCGCAAGGTGCCACTTTGACAAAGTCTTCTACTGGCGGCTCAGTCGTGAGATATGGCCAGGGAGCAGGTGGCATTGAGCCAGGTATGGCCAGGAGAATGGTGATGATGATGATATTTATCGATAATAGTAGTACTACTATGATTATTAGTGTTATTATCATTTAAATATCCACTATCATATATTACTATCCTTATTGATGATGATGATGATGATGATGATGAGGATGAGGATGATGATGATGATGATGATGAGGAGGAGTCTTATCACTTGGGTGTGGCCGGGAATGCGGAATTCCATGGAATTCCAACATCAACTGGAACTGGACATCTGGGAACTGTTCAGCGATGCTAAGGCCCGCGCTTCCAATGGAATGTGCCATTGTCTTCGAGGAGGGCCAGGCCAGGATCAGGTCTTGTGCGGTGAACGTCTGAATTTTGGTTCCTTAGCGAATCCCATTTGTGTTGCCCAAAGACCCATTCCGGTGAAGTTCCAAGGTTCACTTGGGAAGTAAAATCCACAGCTTTGTCATTGTTTGATGGTTGAATCCCACTTTTTTGTGACTGAGATCTGATCTTTTGCTGATTGTTTCCCTGTTTTGTTTTGTATTCAGCTCATCATGTTGCTCTTAGAATTCCGGATTCCGATTGTTGCTGGCTAAAAAGCAACGCCACATATATTTGTTCGCATCCACCTTACCATTTCGACATTAATAGTTGATCAGTTTATATCCCACAAAACCCCATGAATTTCCGTTGAATCCCCATTTTCCTAGCACTTCCTAGGGGGTTTCTTGTTTTTCTTCAACATGGATCAACATCCCCGAAGCGCCCAGCCCAGGCGAGCTTCTTCCTCCACCGACAGCAGAGCATGTTGCGCCGCCGCCGTGCCTTTGGTGTCGAGATGGGCAATGTATACCCGAAAAAGCAATGAAACATGGCTTGCTGGAATATCCCCATGAAGTTTGATGATCCAAACATGAGTACCCATAGGATCCATGTATGCTATATATATATGGGAACATTTACCATCAATATACCCCCAATGTTAGCATATATACCATACATGGATCCTATGGGGTATTCAATATTTTAATTACTAATTAGGTTTTTGACATCCATCATTTCGTTCAGTACGAAAGTTCTCCGATTGAAGTGCCAATTTATACGGAAGTTGCCACTGCCATGTTCCTCCGGTAATTGGAAGTTGGACATGTTTGCCTTAAACCATACTAAACCATTGATTGTTGGAATATAACACGATACAAAACCATTCATGTTTTTCAGTTTCAATGCAATAATAAAAACATGTGTCATTGTTGGTGTCATAAGTTTTGGGAGTGAAAGATCTTGAATGAAACCTTGTAGCATTAGGCTTTTTTGGGGTGAATCTGTTTGAGAAACACAATCTAGAGGAGTTTCGCCAACAAAATTTCAGGATACTGCTGCAGTACTAAGCAGAGGCAGTGTAAATGTATTAAAACACTAATATATCTAGGGCCTAGTAGGGGGTGTTTATATGTTTATATAATATATATATATATATATATATGTTTTTATATGCTTATCTATGTTTATATATCTATTATTGTCGATTATTCAAGCAGAGGCAACTAATATGTAACCATATATCACCAAGAAAAAAAATCGTGTAGACGGTTCTTTTTTTGTTTGGTATCGATCCACTGGGCAGTAAAAGCCACCTGTTTTCTGGTCGAGTTTCCCTCCAATTTTCACACATCTAACGGAGTTGGAGCTCGTAAGACTATAAAAATGGGTGATTCTCAGGATTTAAGATATATCTTGGCTGGGGGCGTGGTAAATTCACGTAAACTCCCCATTGTTTCATACTTCAACCGTGTCAAATCCTCATGTTCAATGATCAAATCACCATTTTGGTGGGTGAATTCCGATATATATATATATATATTTTTTTCCGATGAAAACTGCAAAAACCATCAAAAACCATCAAAAACCATCAAAAACCATCAAAAACCATCAAAAACCATCAAAAACCATCAAAAACCATCAAAAACCTTTTATGCAGATCCAGCCAAAATACCAGAGATTTCATCAGCCAAAATACACCATCCATAATGGAAGCCCGAGGTGTCGACGGTCACCAAAGCGATCTACTTTCGGCGGCGTATCTGCCAGCGGCCCAAGAAACCTTGAAGCTTGGGCCCGGTGCAGTGACCAACCTCATGGGAAAATGCATGAACAATTGCTGGCTAAACATGGTTTAATCTCGTTTTAAGTGGTTTGATGTGGTTTAAGATGGTTCCAAACATGGCTTTGGAACTTTTTCAGTTCTGTTGGGTTCCAAGCAAATTCCAACCATGGTGGAGGTTTCCGAAGAAATAGGTGTACCCCCAGTCATCAGCCATTTGTTGAGGAGATTTTCCATGAAATAAACCATCCAGCTATTGGGGATCCCCCATTTTAGAGGAAACCCCTTTACAAATTGGTCAGTTACATTTGTCGCACACATTTCATCTTCCAAGCGGTGACAATAGGTTGCACCTCGCCAGAAAAGTCTGTTCTGTTGCCTTGATGTCTTGTGGATCATGGTAGTTCTCATGCCTCTAGCAGCACTTGAGAAACGTTTCAAGACTAACAAGATCTAGCAAACCTGAGCAAGCATTTGTGCCTGTGGCTAGAGGTCAATTTCCATTTTTTTTTTGGTACGAAACCATGCCATTATGGTTCCCCCTCTGGCGATTTGACATAGCTATGGAAAATTACCTATTTCACACATTTTCCAAGGTAATGGCTTCCATACTTCGCAACAACTTACCAGAGGGTAATCCCATGAAACATTCCCATGAAATCCCATGAAATTCCCAGCAACTCCTTGAATCCCATTAACATTCCATTAAGTCCTTCTTAAATCCCATGAAATCCCATGAAATTCCATGAAATCCACCATAAAACATATAAAATCACCATTTCCATCATAATTTCCATCCTTTTTTTTCACCTTTCATCCAGCCCTTTCCACCCAGGGAGGAGATCAATCTGGTGGTGACCTCCGGCAACGATAAGATGCTGTGCTTTTGGGCCTGGGCACCCCAGATGTCCATCACGAATGACTGGTTTGTGGTTTGGAACCATGGATTTTTATGACTTTCCATTCAGTTGGGAAGTTCATAATCCCAACTGACGAACTCATATTTTTCAGAGGGGTAGGTACACCACCAACCAGTCATGAATGAAAATCAGCTTTGAACATGAATGAAAATGAGGTCTCAAGATGTCTGAAGTATACTTGATATAACTTGATGTTGATGCAGAAATCAACATGTTCGGACCCCATGTCAATTTTAGCATAATTTAGAGCGAGGGCTGACGAGGTACGAGGTGAATCTTTGCAATTTAAGCGAGGTGAATTAATTAAATTCAGAAAACGAGGTGGGCAGAAATTGCTTTCAAAGCATGTGTAACGAGTGAAAAAAAACTTTTCGGGCTCCAGAAAGTTTTTTGTTGTTCCCATCAGAGTGAAAAAAATAGAAAATTAAGGGTGCATTCAGACCCCGTGAAAAAAAAACTTTCTGGAGCCCGAAAAGCTTTTTATCGTAATTTCAGTCAGTGCCCTGTGGTGGCATGCCCGGTTGTTCCAGGACTTCCGTATTTGTTCTACAGTGAAACCACTGTTTAAGAACCCACTGCATTAAGAACCTCAGGGGCTGGATTGCCTGATTCAACTCTGTCTACCAGCTAATTGAAATAAGAACTCTAGGGAACCCTGAAATTTTGGTCAATAGTTCTTATTCACCTTTCCCAGGTAGCGCGACTAGATTCTAAAATTGCTAAAACTTGAGGTGTAGCGGGGTATCTTGGTGCTGCTGCTGCAGCTTCTCTTCTCTGGGGTCGAATTTGGGGGGAATCGAGCCCCTGCAAATCCGCTTGTAAAAGAGGCATCTCGGAAACAGGAAAAAACTTTTTAGGCCCTGAAAAGTTTTTTCAGCATCCCCAAGCCTCTGGAGCCCAGAGCGTTGCTGCAACGACGACAAAGATAATTCAAAAAAGCTCAACCCAAAAGGAGGCAGAGGACTAGTTCGAATGGCTTGCGGTCGAGAAAGAAATGGGACGAGGGCTGAAATCCGTTTTGAATGTAACGAGGCGAGGACTGAAGATTTAATCAGAGGGGAAAAGTAGATTTAAGACGAGGAAACCGTTTTGAATTTAAAGTAAATTTTGCAATGTCTGAATGATGATGACTTGAGAATCTTGATGCGAGGTTGTCCGAAAATGTCGTCTACCGAAAAAAGAAATAGTGCGTTTGTTTAATAGGAAACATCGTTTTTCACCATGCAAATTTGTGGAATTTCCCCCCAAACGGTCATCCCAATTTTTGATGGTTGAATGTGCCCTCTGGTTTTTTAACACAGCCATGGTATAGATGGCCCATAGAAATAGATGGTTTACCTAGCTATAAAATGGTGGATCTTTCCATGCCTATGTTAGTCCTAACCAGATGGTAATTCAGTTCCCTCAACTTTTCAGACGCATCCAGAAATCGGTGCGGCGGGACCTGCTTCTGAGCTCCCAGGAGAGCAGCGCCTTCAATTTGGTGAAGAAATGGAGTGCCGTGGCTATGGATGGAGCCCATCGCTGGTGAATGGATGTGCATCGCCCCAAGTCTGGAATAATAGGTCTTTATTCACGACTTATAATGGGATGGGTTTACTAAGGCTACACATAACAAACAATAGCATATACTGATACCAGTAGTAGCGCGCAAGGCGGTGGCGGAAGTTTCAAGGATAGGACACTATAGGAGAGGTGAGTTGTTGTGATGCATGGATGGCAGAGCGAATCCACTGATGGACCGAAAGGTGGTTGGAGTTGTGCTTTTTGGAATGGTTGCAATGGTTGCAGTGGTCACCTCACTCACAACTCCTGGATGTAGTGTGGTGTAGTGCAGTAGTTGTAGTTGTAGTGGGGTTCAGATGTTGTTGAAGTTGTAATGTTGTAGTTGTAGTTGTGGTTGCAGTTGTAGTTGTAGTTGTAGTGTAGCCGAAGTGTAGTTGAAGCATAGTTGAAGTTGTAACTGTCTTAGTTGTAGAAATTTTAGTAGTTGCAATAGTTGTAGGAGCTGCAGTTGCAGTTGCAACTGTAGCCGTAGTGTGGTTGTAGCTGTAGTGTAGTTGTAGTTGTAGTTGTAGTGTATTGTAGGGTCGTGGTAATTGTTGTAGTAGTCTAGTAGTGTATTTGAAGTTGTAGTGTTACTGAAGTTGCAGTTGTAGTTGTAGCTGCAGCTGTAGTTGCAGTTGTAGTGTAGTTGTAGTAGTTGCTGCAGTTGTAGTTGTTGTTGTAGTTGTAGTGGCACTTGTAATTGTAGTTGTAGTTGTAGTAATTGCTGTTGAGGTTGTAGTTGTAGTTGTGGTTTTAGCTGTAGTTCTTGTAGTTGAAGTGTAGTTGAAGCTGCAGTTGTAGTGGTAGTGTTGTTGTAGTTGTAGTTGAAGTTGTAGTGTGGTGTAGTGCAGTTGCAGTTGTCTATCAATCTGTCTATCTATATATTTGTTTATCCATGTGTCTTTCTGTTTGTCTATTTGTCTTTCTGTTTATCTATCTATGTATATATATAATATATATATCTCTCTCTCTCTCTCTCCCTCCTCTCTCTCCTCTCTCTCCTCTATCTCTCTATCTCTCTATCTCTCTATCTCTCTATCTCTCTATCTATCTATCTATCTAAATCTAAATTTAAATCTAATCTAATCTAATCTTATCTTATCTGATCGTATCTTGTCTATCTAATCTATCTAATCTATCTAATCAATTTATCTATCTATCTATCTACCTATCTATCTATCTATCTATCCATCTATCTAACTATCTATCTATCTATCTATCTGCAAGTTTGAAATCGAATCTATTCTGCGAGACTTCCTCAGTTTTTGAACTTGACAACATCAAAAACGCAGCAATTCTGCAGGACTCCCTCAAGTTTTGCACGTGGCAACGTCAAAACCAAGCTGTTCTGCGAGACTTCCTCAATTTTTCAAGTTGACAACATCAAAAACGAAACAATTCTACGAGACTTCCTTCAAAAATGGAAAGTTGAGTGCAGAGCTGACGGCTACCTTTTCTCGCACCTGCATTTTTTTTCTTCTCTTATCTTCTCTCTTCTGCTCTTCTCCTCTCTGACTCTTCCCACCTCTGCTTTTCCATTTGTCCACATTGTCGGAAGTTCACTTCTAAACTTCCTTCGATCATATACTGTATGTGGCTTGCCCTTAGATTCTTACTTCCATCCAATAGTGGAGATGCTGGTTTTTTGTATCAATCCAGCGGAATTTTGAGGAGCTTCCTGTTCTTTTAGCCCCCATCCTCGTGGAGGTTTGAAAGATGTTGTTGGGACGCTGTGCTGGTGCCCCGAAATCAACGCCCGGATGCCCGGATGTTCCCCAGCGCTGCGAGCTTGAAGTCATACCTAAATCCTCCAGAGTTCATCCAATTACTCCCTTTCCAGCGATCAAAACCACCCTGAAACCCTAGTTATACCTTGTTCCTTGGATTGGTGGGAGATCTATATATCAATTTTGCGTACATTACGAAAGGAATTTGTTTGGTTGGGGTGATGGGATTACAAACATGGACCTTAAATTGACCCCCATCATGTCAGAATTGGTGGATCCTTGTGGTTTTTCACTTGTTTCAGACATTTTGAAGCTTCAAACATGGGATGATAATCCCAACATCAGGTGGAGTTGAACTAGCAGGGATGCTTCTTCAGCAGGCCCTTTATGCTGCGGACCACTTCAGCGAACGCCTTTGGGGCTGGCGCATCTTTGATGAGTTGGAAGTGAAGACGTCCCTGGGCGGGACGGCCTTGAGGTGGTCCGTAGGGGTTTTTGACCCTTAGGTAAACAACCCATAGATGTGGGCCAGATGGCCCTTAAAATGGATGAATTAGCATGAACTAACCAATTTCCCAATGGTGATTCTCCACATCGACCGGTTAGTTTGCTCCTGGGGTACATGTTGTTGTCATTGTATGATGGCCATCCTTTATAGGAGGACTATACAATTGATGGTGCAATTGATGGAACGTGTATTCCTCAGGAAAGTGTGCTCAAAAAATCGATGTTTCATCAGTTTATCAATGTTGATCATAATGTTCCCGATTAAAACGATATAACTTGATGGGTATCCACGTTTTCAGACACCAATGTATCTGACTTGAGATGACTTTTCGAAGAACATACTGTCTTTCGGCTGGTTGGCAGCGGTTTTCCGTTCCACCTTGCTTCAAGCTGCTGCTCATATCAAATTCTCGATGTTGTTGATCATAGACTATCAAACACCTATACTTCATCTATATCCCAAAATAATATTCCCAACAATTCATCATAAATCATCTTTATCCCAAAAGAACGATTCCCAACAATTCATCATACTCCATTTATCTATAAATCCCAAAAGAATGATTCCCAACAATTCATCACACTTCATCTATGTCCCAAAAGAATGATTCCCAACAATTCATCATACTTCATTTATCTATATATCCCAAAAGAATGATTCCCAACAATTCATCATACTTCATTTATCTATATATCCCAAAAGAATGATTCCCAACAATTCATCACACTTCATCTATGTCCCAAAAGAATGATTACCAACAATTCATCATACTTCATTTATCTATACATCCCAAAAGAATGATTCCCAACAATTCATCACACTTCATCTATGTCCCCAAAAAATGATTCCCAACAATTCATCATACTTCATTTATCTATACATCCCAAAAGAATGATTCCCAACAATTCATCATACTTCATTTATCTATATATCCCAAAAGAATGATTCCCAACAATTCATCACACTTCATCTATATCCCAAAAGAATGATTCCCAACAATTAGGCCCACTAAATTGAAACAATGGAGCCCAACATTGGCCATATCTCCAGAACATCAACCCAGACCCAATTTTTTTCCCATGGTAAACTTAGGGCTGTGATTCCCCCAAGTCGATGGTTAAGGACAGCTGCGGGTGGCATGAAACCAGACAAGAGCCTGGAGTTAGGGCTCTTGGGGGGAGCTTCACTGGGTCAAAAATTGGATTTAACAATCCCTGGAGAAAAAATGAGGATTCACTCATCGTGGTTTAACCTGGAAAATATGGATTTAACCAGCGAAAATAAAGATGGTTCCTTGCTTCCAATGAAGAATGACATTTTGCTTGGATTGATTGGGGTTTTCATTTCATAGCATTTCATAACGATATTTTGTGGAATATCACCAGCTACAATCTACAATCGGTGATCATCCACTGAAGGAATCCCTATGAACCAACCAATGGCATGAGAGACGGTTTTGAACGTTGCTCATGTGGGCTTGTCAATTTATCAAAAAATTGGCGAAAACGGATACCCCAAAAGTTTATGGTTGATTTCGATTTTCTTATTACAGTATTCCCCATTAGAAATAACCAAGATCTTGGATGAAGTTGGGATCCCACTGAAGATTTCCAGAGGAAGTTCTCAGATACGAAGTTGTTGCAATCCCTGCGGGAATCCTTTTTGGGGTCAGAGAATGGCAGGATTTGGGGTATACCACTACCATCCACTACCACATCTCAACAACGGCGGACTGCAGTAACTGAAGTCCGCAGCGTTTGTTGTGCCCTTTGTCCTACATTATTGTTTTATATTTTTTTCTGGGTGATGAGGAAACCACTCCTACACTTTCATATTTGAGATGACTTTAGTAATAAACCGAGTTAGGCACCTTGCCAGCAGTTGCTGCTGGAATTGTGGGGTGTGTGACCTTCCAGCTTCGTTCGATTCCCGAGGTTTAAGGAGGGCCACAAAGAATCCATCCAGGTTGGATAGTGAAATGGCGGGGGGTAGCTGTTCAAAACAGGGAGATAGTTTGAGTTGTTCAACATGGTGAATTTACACGGGTCAAAAAGAATGGTTTACCGTCGCATCTTCTCGGGCACTGCTGTGTGCGGAAAGATGTCCCACGGGGACCAACTGCCCATCATCTGCCAGAATCAATACCAAAAATCAAGGTTGAACTTGCCAAAACAGCAGCGGAGAAGGAAATGATGGGCTAAATTCTTTGCATATCTTTCCTCCCCGATTGGCTTCTGGCTTTAAACTCATGGGGACATGGATATATATATAATATAATATAATTTTATATTATATTATATTATATTATTTTGTATTATATTATTTTATTTTATATTATATTATGTTATATTATATTATGTTATATTATATTATATTATATTATTTTGTATTATATTATATTATTTTGTATTATATTATATTGTGTTATGTTATATTATATTATATTATATTATTTTGTATTATATTATATTATTTTGTATTATATTATATTGTGTTATGTTATATTATATTATATTATATTATATATAAATCATAGTATAATATGATAAACTATAATATGCTATAATATAATATAATTTGATATAATATAATATAATGTAATTTGATGCAATATAATACAATATAATATAATATAATATAATATGAATTATAATATAAAATGATTTGATTTATAATATAAAATAATTCGATTTATAATATAACGTGATGTAATGTAATGTAATGTAGTGTAATGTCATGTAATGTAATACATAATATTAAATGATATGAAATATTAAACTCTATATTTAATATACCTATATCAATACTTTGCTGGTTGGTATTTTGAATTTGCGGGATGAGTTGGGAAAATGATCAGTCCAGCTGGCAAGGCATGTTCGGAATGTGTTGACAGTACCAGCTCCCCTATCCAGGAAACCAGGATGTGACAAACCTGTGGGTCAATTCATTGAATGTATTGGACACATGCCAATATTGTCAAACATAGCATTACCCCAGTCAACATATTCTGAAGGTTTGGTCAGTTTATGATATGTATATTACATGGTTGTGAATAAAAGGATAGATTTAGATTTGGAGAGAAAAGACAGGTCTGCCAAAAGTACATGTAGTTCTTATTCCCAGAATTGGTTTCCGGGAACATCGAAACGCGAAACCGCGTAATGAACGTTGAGTCAAACTTAGTAGTTTTCTGTAGATGTTCCTTTAAACTTTAAACCAATCCATGAAGTAGCCAACTATCACCATTTTTGCTGGGTTTTCACCAACAGTTTTCAACCGGAATCTCTACGAACAAATCCCCATCTCCTTGAACGAGAAAAAACGGCGCAGGTCATGAAGTGGCTCAAGCCCCTGCAGCCGCTCGCATCAACCATACAGTGTTGCCACTCGTATTAGTATGTGTTGATAAATTAGTAGATCTAGTGATAGCTAGTCATAGTAATAGGATAGGTTTTTCAATGGCTTGGTTTTAAGGGAACATTTACAGAAAACCCTTGGGTGTTTTCATGTGTTTTCCATGGTTTTTCTCATGAAATGTGGATAAAGATGGGGCCTTCCTGCACATTTTCCCACTCATCCAATGAGTTAATGCCGTCACTGGAAGAATTGTTCGATTGCGGGAAATTATCCCGTGGACTGGGCCGAACTTTGCAGGTGAGTGACATGTGTGTTTAATTTTCCCAAAACCATATAGTCAATTGCCACTTTTATGGTATTACTACTGTATGTCTTAGTATTCATGTATGTCTTAGTAGATAGTAGATCTATATAATTTATAGTCATAGTAATGGTAAACTATCAACCGTCTATATAGTATATATGTGCAACTAATCAACTATATCTAGTATCATATGATCAATCATCCCCAAAAGGAATCGACACGAGATCGTGATAATTGACGTGTCTATCAGTTGGGGATAATATATATATATATATAATTCCTTTTTAAAATGTAGTTCTTGTGGCGGGGCCATATTAATATATGGATGGTTACTGGCAAGCAACTGGCTGATATGGGGATTTAGGCTCTGACTAATTAAAAGGCCATTGGATGTTATTTTTTGGTGAGCAAAAAACCATGCGCCACGATCAATCATTTCAACAGTTGCTTAATTATCAGGATCAACCACCAAAATAAGTCAACGAAAGGCGCATTGGAAACCACCCCCCCGCCCACCAGTCACTCGATCTGGGTGGGAGGCTCAACCATTTGGGTTTGTTTGAGAATGGGGTACCCAAACTCTCAATTGTTCATCCTCATTTTTCGCCAGTGAACGAGCCATTTTGGGGTATCCACAATTCTTGGACAAACCCAACTATATCATATTGTATGGGTCAAAACCTCGTACCCCTGTAGTTCATATCCAGATAGCTAGTATAGCTGGAGGTTCATCCCCAAAGAGTATTGTACAATATGGTATTTCATAGGTATTGATCATATTGATCCCTATCCATCAAATCCCCTTTACAGCCCCTTACATCCACTTAAACCTCCAGAATTTGATGGTCAAATCATTAAGTTGAATCCAGGTTTAATCTTTTAGAAGTTTCGCAGTTTCTACTGAGGTGTTTGGCCACAGCCTCACTAGATACCACGGTGCAAATCTTCGACACAGTGCTGCAAGCGCGAAGCCATACCCTGTCGGGTCACACGAAGGGTGTGGCACTCAGGGGACGCTGCTGTTTGGGTGTGAAAATGATGGGAAAATCATTGGGAAACTGTTTTTTTTGGATTAAACCATGATTTAATGGGGATCTACGGGGATATATGGATATGATATAACCAACAAATGATATGATATTTGGGTTTCTCTGAAAATAGTGTATTCACCCCAGCAATTTGAAAGGAAACATCATGACAAACCAATAGGTCAATAGAGTCAATAGGTTTTGAGATACCACAATTTTAGACAAACTCATTTCTTCAATGGGGATTCTTGAAATGCGGTACAAAAATCGCCCAGAAAGCTGCCCTTCAAATAGGGAAAATTGTGATAGATGACTGGAAGTTAGGGGTGTCCTATTTTCTGACAAACCCACATACTGGTACTTACTTATATGTAGAATATTATAGACCTCCACATTCAAGGTGGAAATTATGAAAAAAACAAGTTATCCTGCATAATATACAAGCACATATGTGTAAATTAAACTTATACATTACCCTTCCGCAAGCAAACATGGCAATGGAAAATGCAACATTTAATGATATGATATTCCCACAAAAACCCTCCGTTTAAAGGGGATGTCTCTTTGCCATGTTGGATATTGTTTGAGTACTGAAGGGTAGCGAAAACATCTCTGGAATGTGGACACTAAAGCCATAGCTGGCCTTCTCTTGATGATATCTCCCAGTTGGTTGACCATACTCGGGTACCCCAAACTCAACCGCCACTAGCTGCTACCAAAAAATGGTGGTTTAAATCATCTGGATATGTTTTAGGATCGAGGCTGACTCGATTTTTTTTTCCACATTGAACCCCCCCAGAAATCGAGCCCCCTCTTTTTACAACGGACATCATTGAGTTGGGTGTTGTTTCATGTTGGTTCATGTTGTCTCATCTTGTTTCACTCTTGGTCTCTTAGTTCTGGGGAGCTCGGTCCTGACCTGGTCAAAGACTTTACACATGGGGTGGGGTTTGGTCACTGCATACTGCAGCGATTTGGCTCAACAAAGAGAGCGTGAAGAAATCAGGGTTTTTTCAGGGTCAACCTTGGGGCGGAGCCTTGCTGGATCAAATTGGTTGATGAAAGATCAGCTCTTGAAGCAAGTTCTCGGCAGGATAGGATCCACCATGCTTGGCAGGAATCCTGTCTGCAGGATTCCAGACATTTTCGACAGGATATGAGCCAAACAAGCACTCTGTCCTGCAAGTTTCTCATTTACTCTCTGGATCTCACTGGAAGTTTCTTACACTTTGCCAATCAGAAAATGTCAGAAAATGTCAGAAAATGGTGAATCATCTGTTTTCATGGGTCATCGCTTCCACAGCAAGCACAAAAGAGGCACCCCCCATTTAGTTTGATGACTTTCCCATGAAAACCTCCATGGCTAGTTCGGGAATTCCCCAGCCAGCCATGTTTGAGGGCACCAGAGGGTATCCCATCAACTACTCCCAAAACCAATCACATATTCCCATGAAATCCCCAAACAAGTTCCATATAGAATCCCCAATTATACTTCCCTTACGCTCCATGTATAGAATATTATAGAATATTTACCAACATTGACCAAAATGGCCCAGTCATGTTGGTAAATCTTCAGCAAGGTTGGCCTGGCTTAATCCCCATCTACCAACATCTTGCGCATCCCCAGCTTCTCAAGTGCTTGCTGCGCAAAATGAAGCGGTTCATTGGTCACTTGGGGCAGCTCCAGTGGAGGTCTACAATGTGGAGGAGAAATCGCTTGCTGCGCGGCCAATTGAGTTCAGATTTTGTTTTTTTGCCGTTTGATAACTAGACTCTTTGGGATACCCTCTGGTAAACTAACATAACTATGGAAAATCACCATTTTTCATGGGAAAATTCACTATAAATGGTGATTTTCAATAGCTATGCTAAATTACCAGAGGGTATCACTGATACTCTATATTTCTAATGTCATGGTATAGAATAATCGTAATTAAACATACTTGTATGTTTGGTGCGCAGTCATATCCTTCCTCAAGTGAGCCAGAGGGGCCACAAAAACAACATCATTATATACCAGCAAAAGAACCACACACCTAGGTGCCATATATCACCATGATACATCCTGAAAAGAACACACACACATATATATATATATATATATACATATATATATATATATATATACATATATATATATATATACATATATATATACATATATATATAATATATATACAGTATGATATGGGAATGGGTCAAAACCTATGAAATTACTTACTGGTAGGGAATGAGGGAATGATCCATAATCACTAGTAATAGTCATCCCATTCCCCCAGCAACCCATCCATTCCCTACTAAGCACCAGTAAGATTACCATGTGAAATCATATGACCGGGGACACATCCATAGATCACAGCTCTGACCTGCTGGGTAACCCAGGACCACGGCCTACTGGGCGATGCCGCGAAGCTTTCAAGCGTTGGGACTCTGCCCAAAAGTTCAGAACCTTGGGTGAGAGGCCCAGATATGGCTATTCTATACCCAAGCTATGGACATTTTTGGATGGGGATAATATATATATATATGTAATATATAATAATTTATATAATTATATATATTATAGTGTAATTAATTATTCAATATGCACATGGATGTAACATGATATCAATGGATATTTTTCGCAGACAATATGATGTTCCGGGTTGGCAAGCGGCTTGTACCCGTCACTTGTGACGGCGTTCCAAGAATTCTCCCCAGAGTTGGGAGTACCATGTGGTTATGACTAACATAGCCATGGAAAATCCCAACCAGAAATGGAGGTTTCTAGCTGGGAAAATCATCTATTTCTATGGGCCATGGCTTCCACGGCTATGTTAGTCATAACCAGATGATATGAATATGGAGTAAGCATACCTGACACGGTCTATTTGGAAGTAATATGATCTGAAACGGAGCTTTTGTGAAATAATGGCAGTTTTTTCTCCAATTTCTTGTAGCTAATCAGAGTTCAGATTCCTCACCCCTGGCATCAAGGAACAGCCTGTTGCTGGCAGAAGATCCCAAGCCCGTCAAGAATTCAACACAGGAGGACAGCATTCTCCATTCCACGATCTGTTCTTGGACCGGTAATGCTAAGAAGTCTGGGGGTCCCTTGTTCTAACGCCTTCTGCATCAATCAATCGGAGATCTAGATAAACAGTTTTTATTTTCATTCCTGACCCTAGCCCAAATTTCTACAACCCAAGAAGGTGCATTGGGGATGAGTGGCTTCTAGCTGAACTTATATATACACAATCCGCAGAACAACTCTGCACTGGAACCTCTGGGGCTCCTCCTCGATGAACAGAATAGGTGGTACTTGGGACAAGGTCGTGCCCCATGAGTTGGTTCAGAACTATAATTACCCTCTGGTAATTTAACATAGCTATTGAAAATGGCCATTTATAGTTGATTTATCCATTAAACATGATGATTTTCCATAGCAAGATGTTAGTTCACCAGAGGGTATTGTATATTACTAGGGTTTATGGATGTTTATGGTGGAAATGTCTATAGGTGACCATAGGATACCCTGCTCCACCAGGACAAAGAGACCTCCGACACATCAGGTGAAGCGCCACAAAATGTGACTCAGACCGGGCGACAAGGTGGCTGCGTCAATGGGGCCCCCAACATGGAATATACATGGCATTTGGTGAACATATCGGACACTGATTTGGGTATGGATCAATACCTATTAATACCATTTTTAGGGGGATGAACATCCATTTACCAGCTATTTTGATGTTCACCACAATTACATGGTTTTGACACACTGCCACATGGCATTTGGTGAACATATCGGACACTGATTTTCCAAACTTTTCCAGTTTTTTTGTTGAACAAGAATCATATGACATCATATGACTGAACCATTTGGAGGTCAGAAAAGATGCAGAAAGATTCGTCATGATGCAGAAAAGTCAAATGAATCGTCCAATCATCCTCCAATCATAGGAAGGTGTCTTTTTTCGATTCTGCTCCTTGAGGACAAACGAATCATTTTGTCCGACAAGGCAATCCTTCCGCGCAAACAAATAATCGTTTGAACGCTCATGCACATGCCCTCAAACTCACACTCCCAAAGGGGCATCGTTTGTTGCACTTTTGCATTTGAGTGCGAGTTGCACCAAGGACAAAGGAAAAAAGCCAGAGGAACCCGAGAAGCCAAAGCCAGACCATTACTCTGTATCTTGGTTCAATAGCCCGTTACAAGTTGGTTTACAAACCCCATAGATACAGTTATCAGTATCATGGACCATGCTTATGGGAGTTACAAACCAACTTCGCTATCGTCTATCGTTTGGGGGCCCCACTTTGTAGAGTTCATACGTCATGGGTTGACAACCAGCTCGGTGGTGGTGTGGTGGTGCCTCGATGCTTCAAGTAGCCATAAAGATGGGTGAAAGTAAAGTCCCAAGTCCCAAAATTATTGGTGTATTCCCTGATGTTTCTATATTTTTCAAGGTACTTGGAGGGTCTAAGTATATAGTTTTCTTCTTGCTTTTCTGGACAGCCAACAGGTTTACCCTTGAAAGCCTTAAGATGCGCGCAGGTGGTTGTAACTCCAGAGATTTTCTTGGACGTTTCCACGTTGCCGCTGCGGATGCTCGTACATCGCACGGCCATTTGGTTTGTGCCTCGGTTACAGCGGGACAGTGAGCACAGTGGGCCACCAAGCACCTCGGTCAATGACCATCTTATGTTGCAGCCTCAAGCTGACCCGGATGAAAGTCATGCGAAAAATTGGTGTGTCCAACTGTGCAACAATGTAACATGACATCGAAAAGCTTTGAGTTTTAGAACAAACTACATAAGTATTGACCATTTGATTTGAACCATTAACATCCATTAACCACTATGAACTATGGCAAAAACAATTGAACTGCCTTTTTTTAATAGCAGGATCCTCCGCGCAGGCTACCTTTGCAGTCCACGTAGGCTTCATGACTCGACTTCGGCTCAATTGTTGCGTTCCTCCCAAACG